TTTGCTAAGCTTGTTCTAAGTAGGTGCTTTAGACCACTGAGCCATCTCTCCAGCCCACTATTTTGTATTCTTTAAAAAAATTTTTTAAATTAAAAACATTGATGAAATAGAAAAGATAAATTTGTTTTCATTTCTTCTATTTAAGAGGTTTCACACTATATATACATGTGATTTTGGGGGCTCGGGGACATGACACAAAAACTAGAAAGACTTGTAACAGTTACATAACTTGTGTATAAGTAGCCACTAACCAGAAAACTGCTAGAGAACAACTCAGGAAAGCAGTGGTAGACCTGCTTACCCCACCACAGAAGTGAAATCCTTTGTTCTTCCCAAGCATCGGATCTTCCAGCACACTGATGGGGCCTTCTAGGGCTCTCCTCATGGATTACATGTGTCTGCACATATGTGTACATGTGTATGTATATATTAAATATATATTTTTACTAGGGATCTGTTCTCTTACACAATGGGGTCATACCACATGTAATTTGACTTTATTTTTCATCTAGTACACCTTGCCATGTTTGTTTTATACACATTCATCATAATCCTTTTAATAGCATAAGTGCTTTTATTGTAATGATAAGAAAACTTTGGATAACAAAAGGCAGGCTTTACAGAAACATAAATCTAAGGGTATTTAGCCTCAAGTTTTAATACTATATTTGCTATACTAGATTCTGCTTGCATTAGCAAGAGAACAGGAGAGCAGATTCCTCCTCGGAGGAGAACACACGCTTTGGGGTATCTGTGCCATGCTGCTAGTTGGGCATCTGAGGCAGGGCCCCCACGTGAGAAGTACACAGGGAGAGACCCGAAGAGCATGCAGAGCAGCAACTCTTGGCGCTCTGCTGACTCATTCCTAGCCAGAAGGGGAAGAAGTGGACAGTGCTACTCACAGTAGGAGAAATAATACTCTTAAGCCCTGGGAAACTAGGAATAAGGTACACTGAAAATCTTCCTAGCCTTCTAAAATAAAGCATTAGTGTATTTTATCAATTTTAAGACACAATTGGGGTTGGGGAGATGGCTCAGTGGAATAAGTGCTTCCTTGGCAAGCGCAAGGGCCTGAGTTCAATCCCCGGTTCCGCAAAAAAAAAAAAAAAAAAAAAAAAAAAAAAAAAACACTTGTAAATCTTGGGGTTGGGGAGATGGCTCAGTGAAATAAGTGCTTCCCTGGCAAGTGCAAGGCGAGTTCAATCCCTGGTTCCGCCAAAACAACAACAAAAAGACACAATTCTTCCCATTTAGCATCCTAAGAGTAGGGGTACCTTAAAATTGATGGTGTATTACATGTGACAGGTGGGACTTGTTGCCATTATAACAGTTTATTTTCCTTGGTTCCTTTTGATGTATGCTCAAATGGGATGGTAGAGTATATATTTAAATAAGACTAAGAGGGCTAGTTCAGGAAATGTAAGTTTTAAATTATATAAGGCACAATCCTTGCCTGTGGCACTCTGCAATACAAAGAAGTAGAGTACATAAGTCTAACTCTACAGTAAATCTGTTTAGCATTATAACGCAGTGCTATTATTTTTGCTTGGAATTCCCATTGACCACGGTCTGGAATATACTGTCTTACCTTAAAAGAACATCTGCAACCCCCTCCGACATGGGGTTAATGTGGACTAACTATGATCTTTCTTGCACATGTTGAATTTCCTGCAGTACAGTCCCGCTATAAGCCCATCTGCTTCTCATCAGAGTTCTGCCTGCTTGTAATTTAATGAAAATAGCTATAATCCCTCAAAGGCATGAATGTTTACTGTTTTGTTTCTTGAGATAGGTCTTGCCATGTAGTGCAGACTAGCCTTGAACTCAGCAATCATCCTGCTTCAGCCTCGCAAGTGCTGGGATTAGAGGTGTGCTCCACCAAGCCTGGCCTAAATGTCTGCTCTTTACTATGGAACTACAGCCATGATTTCTTGGGATTCTTATGTGTATGAAATATTTTACTTATAAGAGAAAATTTTACCTTAGGGCAAAGAGTTCACCCATTTTCTGCATAGCTTCTTTATGAGATAATTTCACTTTCTTCCCAGCTTTTAAAGCCTATTTGGGAGAGAACAAAACCACATACATAGTTGGCCCTCAATACCTGTGAGTTGTGCATCTATGGATTCAACTAATCACAGGTACAAAATATTTAGAAACCATTGCACCTGTACCGAACATGTAGACTATTCCCTGGTCAGTCCCTAAACACGGCAGTGGGACAGCTGTTCACACAGCATTTACAGGACTGGAGTGTAGCTCAGCTGTTCAGGACTTGCCTGCCAAGTTGGAGGCCCTTATTTTGATCCCAAGCACTACAAAGAAAACATAACGAAGAAACAATAGAAAAACTACTGTCTACAGTATCCACATTGCATCAGGTGTCATGCAGCTGGGTACACAGGAGGATGCACATGGGTCATCTGCAAACATGGTGTCACTGTACGTGACAGTGGACCCCATGGGTGGGGGAGTGCCAGGTCTGGAGCCAATCTCCCTTGGGTACTGGGGATCACTATATGTATAGCTTTCCACTAAGAACTGGGCCCATCCCACAGATTCTCAAAGGGCATAATTTTAACTCTATTTAAGTAACTCTAAGATGATGGTGTCCCACCTGCATATCTTAACTCATGCTGAGATTTCAAACTATTACTTGGTAGGAATTTTTTTTTTCTTCTTGGTAGGAATTTTACACTTTACTTTTTTCATTTCCCTTTGCAATATTCTGGACGCTGAGTGTCCCCCATAAGGGCCAGGTTCATACTCTGGAAGGCACAGCTTCCGAGTGGGGAGGGAATGGGAGTGAGTGAGGTGGGGGATGGGGGTCTCCTGAGGGGCACTGGCGTCCCTGCGCCTCATTCTTCCTCACTCTGCTGCCTCACTGCCACAGACACACTCTCTGCCACCATGTGTCTGTGTTCTTGCCAGGAACAATGGGTCTGCCCAACCAGGAACTCAAGCTCCACACTGAGCAGGGACAGACCCCTCCCTTAGGTGAGCAGGCCTTGGGGTATGCTACAGTACCCCTCCCATCAACATTTCCTGGGACACACATTCCTAATCTAAGCAGGGCCTGTCTTCTCCTGAGAATAATTACATTATTTTGTAGCAGTAAAAACAAAATTAGTTGTAGCAAAAACGATGTTAATGGACTTTGAAATTTTAATAACTTTATAGTTTTTTTTTTTTTTGTTTTTTTTTTTTTGAACAGTACCAGGGATTGAACTCAGGACCTTGTGCTTGCCAGGCAGGTGCTTATGGCACTGATCAATCTCCCCAGCCTTCAACTTTACAGTTTTATGTAGTAAATATATATAACTAAATATATGTGTTTTATGTTTTTATTTATTTATTTTTTTGGCCGGCTCCGCCACCCACCCTGAGAGTGAGGCTGAAGTGGCATGTGATGCCGGGAATCGAACTGTGGTCCCCTGCAGCTGTCTAAGCTTGTCTAAGCAGACGCTTTAGACTGATGAGCTATCTTACCAGCCAATTTATACATTTTATTCTTATTTTTTTTGGGGGGGGGGCAGGGCTGGCGCAGCATGTGGTGCTGGGGACCAAACTGCGGTCTCTGTGCTTTGCCAACTAAGCTTGTCTAAGCAGGTGCTTTAGACTGCTGAGCTATCTGGCCAGCCCCATTATATATGCATTTTATTTTATTGTGGAACTGGGGATTGAACTCAGGTCCTTGCACTTGCCAGGGAAGCGTTTATTCTACTGAGCCATCTCCCTGGCCCCTATATATGCATTTTAAGTGCTAATTTTTTAAAAATTTTATTTATTTATTTATTTGTGTGTGTGTGTGTGTGTGTGTGTGTGTGACCAGCTCAGCCCACCAGGGGGCGGGGCGGGCTGGCATGTGGTGTTGGGGGATTGAACTACAGTCCCTGTGCTTTGCTAAGCTTGTTCTAAGTAGGTGCTTTAGACCACTGAGCCATCTCACCAGCCCCTTAAGTGTTCATTTTCTTCTCAAAATTTATCAAATTCTTTTTTTGGGGTAACTACGGATTGAACCCAGGACTTTCACACTGAACTATGTACCCATAGCCTTTTAAATTTTGAAACAGGGTCTTGCTGAGTCATGAGGTTGAGCTTGACCTCAGGACACTTCTAAAGGCCCTCCCAGTGTGGGGATTGCAGGCATGTGCCACAGTGGCTGGCCTTAGTACTTTTTCATCATGAAAAGTGGTGGTGATCGATCACCTTCCTTAGAAAGGTGAGATTTCACTGTTTTCATTTGTATTAACGTCTGCCATATAGGAAAATAATCTATATTAAAAAAAAAAAATCACTTGAGATTTTCTGTCACTGTTTTGTATGTAATTGGAAGTTTTTTCTTAAATTTCATCTAGCTTTCCTAGTGTTTGTTAGTTTATTTTTTATTTTTTTGGCAGAACTGGGGGTTGAACTCAGGCCCTTGTGCTTAACAGGCAAGCACTTATTCTACTGAGCTGTCTCCCCAGACCCATGTTTGTTAGTTTATTATCCTCATACACACATATTGTTACATTGAAGAATTTATATTTTTCCCATGTAGAAATAAAACAAGCATAAAAATGAAATAATTACCTCTGGAATTGACTGAATAGACTCAATAAATTTATCCAGTGTTGCTTCCCAAATAGCTAGTTTCACTAGGGAGAGAAAGGTAACATGGAACATTTACCATCACAATCACATTTATTCAAATGTAGAAGTGCACAGCACCTTTGCTACCTTCTCCACAGTTTAAGAAGCAAATGCTTTGTTGCACAGGTCCTGCTTTACCTTGGTCTTAACCATCCAGTAGAAAAGTATGAAGATGAAATATAGGAAGTAAAGCCATGCTGTTATGTTGAGCTGTAGGGGACTCAGGTCAGTAATTTCTGACATTGCCAGTTAAACAGAAGACCCAATGCTATTATGGGCTACTGGACTCTTTTAGAATATTTTGCTGAGTTTACACACCTATAATATTCAACAACGGAACTTAAAAACATTGGGGTATAACTATGAATGTCCATTTTGTATCTGTGTATTCAAAGTGGTTGGGATAGATATATAGTTGCATTTTCTTAATGAATAGAATGATTTTTTCTAATGGTGTTTGTAAGTAGGATCACAAGTCTGCATCTTGTACAGCAATTAACCACTAAGAAGAATATATACAGTGTATTATTTGTTGAAACTGTACTTTCGATTTGATTTGAAACTGTCTCATTGCTATATGTTTATCAATAAAACTTTGAAAAGAAAAGAAAAAAAAATTAAAAAAAAAAAAAAAGAAGAAGCAAATGCTTGAAAGGTGAAACTAGATCCCTAAGACCATTTAATTAGGATAAAGGGCAGCACTAATGTGGAAACTGACGGGAAACTGCATTTCCAAGCCCTGCTGGTGATCCAAGGAGAAGACTTTTTTTTTTTTTTTTTTTTTTTTTGGTGGAACCAGGGATTGAACTCAGGTCCTTGAGCTTGCCAGGGAAGTGCTTATTCTACTGAGCCATTTCCCCGGCCCCCAAGACCTGATTTTTTAATGGTGCATCTTGGAAGCCAGAAGGGATTACACTGCCTCCACCGGGCAGCTCTGTGGTGCTGGGGAGGTGTGCTACCCCCAGCCTTGCACTGCACAGTGCTCCAGAGGGGCGCGGACGTCCGAGTGCGGCCTGAAGCAGACGTTTGGTGAAAGGAGCAGAGCTCAGCCAGTTCTGTCTGAGGCATGGCTCTTGCAGGGAAAGCTGCTTTCACTTGGCCCCATTCCTGGAGCGCACAGGAGCGTGGTTTCTCCAGAGGCTTGGGCTGTGTCTACCTGAGCTGGAGGCCACGGACAAGGTCCCACAGAGGCGGAGAGGCCAACAAAGAAAACTAAACGGGGCAAAGTATGTTCGTACACAACAAACACGCCATGAGGAATTGCAGAGGCCATGGCTTATACCATCTGTCAGAGAAAAACTTTCCTGTTGAGTGCTCTGTGGAAACGTGCCCAAATCTTCACCAAATACTTAAATCTTATGAGGGCCAGCCAGATAGCTTAGTGGATTAAAGCACCTGCTTAGGCAGACGCAGGGACTGGGGTTTGACTCCAGGCTTGCGGTGCTGGCCTTGCCCCTCAGAGCACGCTGAGATGTGATTGAGACTGGGCGTGGTGGCAGCAGCGAGCCTGTAAGCCTAGCACTTAGGAGGCTGTAGACAGGAGGATCACTATCAGTCCGATCTGCGTAGTGAGACCCTGTAGACCCTGTACTAAATACATTAAAAAAAAACCCAAAACTTAAATTTTCTGTGATAAGATGAAAACTAATACCTTCTTCAAAAAATAGAAGTGACTTACCAGAAAGGCAAAGAGCGTTGGAGAAAGCAAATTTCTCTAGAATGGCATCATCAATATCTAATTCTGAATTCAATTTGATTTCTCCTCTGTGAAGTTTAGACTGTCCTCTGAAAAATGAAAGAAAGCATCTTATAAATCTTAATTTAAAAAAAAAATCTTAATTTTTGAAAATAATTAATTAATTTACTATATAGCCCAGGCTGGCCTTGAATTCAAGGCAATCCTCCAGCCTCAGCCTCCCAGAGTGCTGGATTTATAGGTGTGCATCTACATGCATTTTAAAAAGTACTTTAAATTTCTCTTTTGGATAAATAAACCTTATCATCTTTCTAGAGGTCATTTTGACAATATATATCAAGAGTCTCATACTCATTGATCAAACTAATTCAATTTCTAGAAATTTGTTCCATGGAAATTAAAGCTATAGAGGTTTGTGTAAGAAGGTGGTGCCTGCCTGTAATCCCAGCATTCGGGAGGCAAAGGCAGGAGGACTGTGGTGAGTTTGAAGCCAGCCTGGGCTATGTAATTACTTTAAGGCCAGCCTGAATTACAAATCAAGACTCTGTCTCAACAAACAAAACAACAGGGGCCGGGCAGATAGCTCAGCCTGGCAAGCACAAGGACCCGGATTAGGTCCCCAGTACCACATGCTATGCTGGCCCCACGTGCCGAGCCAGCCACTGATACTAGGCATGGGGGTGCACGGCTGTAATCCCAGCGCTGGGGAGGCTGAGACAAGCGGATCACTATGAGTCTGAGCTGCACAGTGAATTGTATCAAATCAATAAAAGATTTTTAAAAATTTATGTACAGAAAACTTTCTATGGTGAACTATTTAATGGAAAAGAAAAAAGGAAAGCAACTAAATGTTCAAAAGAAAGATGGTTCAGTATTAGTCTTTCCAGAACAGGTATTAGAAACAAGGAGGCACAGTGAGCCAGCATGGTGGGGCATGTCTGTAACCCCAGCACTTGAAGGCTGAGGCAGGAGGATGCTGTGAACTCAAGGCCAGGCCGAGTTACACAGCGAGTTCAAGGCCAACCTGCACTACATAGCAAGACCCTGTCTCAAAAAAAGCCTAAAAGAAAAGAAAGTGTAAGCTTTCAGCTTTGGGATTACATATCTACTTAATTTGTGGCTATGCCGACAGGTTAAAAGTTACCTGTATTTCTCTAATATTGATTGTACGACATAGCCTTTTATGTGTAGCAGTGACTTTTTTCTTAGAATTAGTCCCCATGGGGGCTGGGGAGATGGCTCAGTAGAATAAGCGGTTGCCTGGCAATGGCAAGGGCCTGAGTTCAGTCCCCGGTTCTATACACAACACACACACACACACACACACACACACACACACACACACACACACAAAAGAATTAGTCCCCATATTCATAAACAGGTCACTTCCTCTGTTGCTTCCTAGTTTCTTCCCAGTGCCCTTTTCAAGTCTGACAAAATGTCACTTACTCTATTTTCATGTAGTTAAGCTCTTCGTTTTCCCAGTGCACCAAGGCAATTTCATACGGCTGAACTTCATGTCTCTCTAGGATCTGCATCACTTGCTTCATCTGGAAAAAACAGAACATGCTCCCGAAATGAAGACCAGTCCCTCAGTGCCAGCAGCAGGGGTGCCGGTGCCTGTAAGGCCTCCCACTGCATTCCATGGCGTGCTTTTTTTCCCCTCGTCTTTTTCAGACAGAGTCTTTCTCTGCAGGTCAGGCTGACCTTGAGCTCACTCTGTAGCCCAGGCTGGTCTTGAACTTGCAATGATCCTCCTGCCTCTGCTTCCCAGTGCTGGGATTATGGTGTGCACCACCATACCTAGGCCTCACTGGCATGCTTTCTGTTGCTTAGTTTGTTTTTGTTTTTGTTTTTGTTGTTGCTTAGTTTTTGGGAAAAGGCAAACTCATGGTGACACTAAACTAACCAGGATGACACGTCATTTGTTTCTGTAGGTGGAAAATATAAATAAGCATAAATTTTTGGTATTCTACCACCCAAAGAAAATCACTGGTAACATGGTTTGTGTACATTAAATCTCTTAAAAAAAAAAAAAAAAAAAGTGAAGGCGAGTATTTGTAGAGATTTAAGCAACATAAAATGGTGCAAGAATGATCTTCTCTTGCTCATCTGAAATCCTACAAGATAATCGTGACCAAACTTGGCACATACCCTTCCACACTGTTCTACGAGCACGTGTACTCCTTTATGAGAAGGGGATCACACCACACGTAGGGACATTCTCAGCGCAATTCTTATTGGAGGAGCTGCAACTTTCTTAACCATATCAAACGTCTACTCAATGGACAGCATCTATCGAGCACATCCTCCTCACGCGTGCATCCTCAGGCTTGTGACAATACTTCTTTAGGAGCTGCCAGACCTCAAGGTAGGTGGGATGGGGTACAGCTCAAAGGTGTAGGGCTCATCTGGCTTGCATGTGGCCTTAGGTTTGAGCCCCAGTACTAGACAGTAACAAAACAGAAGCAAAAGACATGTGCTTATAATCTTGATACATGTTGCTAACCGGCTCTCCAAGACTGTTTTTCTTACTTTAAAATCCTAACATTCATGATAGTAATATAAAAACTACAGTGACTCAGGGAGACCCTGTCTCAAGAAAACTAAAAAAGGTAAAAAGGGCTGGGAGTTCAGCGTGGTGGCACACACCTGTAATTCCAGCAGGTGGGAGGCTGAGGCAAGGGATTGCTGTTTGAGGCCAGACTGAACTACACAGTAAGACCCTGTCTCATAAAGGGGTGGGTGGGGTGGGGTGGAGATGGAGCTCAGTGTGCAGATCCTGGGGTAGTCCCCAGCACTACAAAAGGAAACAGAAGCATAAATCCCAACCCCCAGGGCACTTCTAGCTTCTCCTGTCTCTGCAACTTTAGACAGACAATTTGTATCTTATATTTATTGGTCATTTATATTTCCTTTTTCCTTTAATTTCTTACCTACTAAATACATCTCTTTTGAGTAAAATTGGAATTGTTTGAAGCATATTTATTTATTTATTTATTTATTTATTTGATACAGGGTCTCACTACGCAGTTCAGACTCATAGTGACCCTCCTGTCTCAGCCTCCCCAGGGCTGGGATTACAGGAGTGTGCCACCACACTCAGTTTTGGGGCTTGGATGGCATGCAGCACAGGAGATTGAATTTGGGACCTTGTGTTTGCTAAGCTATCTCCCCAGCCCCGATTCTTACATTTTATAACCTGGTCTTTTAACTTCACTGTATCCATAAGAAACATCCCAGGAATATTTTTCCACATGGTTTTTAAGAACTGTAGTATATTTTACCCTATGGATATATTTAATAAACTTTCTGTTACTGTGTATTTTAGTGATTTCTAATTTTTTCTCGTGTAAAAAAATGCCTTGATGAACATTTTTGTACATAATTTGCCATGTATAACTGTGATTAGGGCCTTTGGCTAAGTTTTTTGTTTTTGTTTTTTTTTTTGTTTCTGAAACAGAATCTTACTAGGTATCCCTGGCTGGCCTTGAACTCACAGCAATCCTCCTGCCTCAGCCTGCCAGGTGGTGTGGGATGACAGGTGTGTACCAACACATGCATGCTACGGGGACAGCTTTCTAAGTGTAAAGTTGCTGGGTTAAATATAAAGCTTTGATGTAATTATCAAACTCCCTCTCAAACAGTTGCATTATAAATTTTGATTTTTATATTAAGGAGAGTATTACCTGTAAGTAATATGTTATAGAAAATTATGTTATTAATTTTGTACATTATAATATACAAATATAATTCTTTCTGTAGTGTTATCAGGCTCTTCACAAATCACCATGCATTTAGAAAAAGGAAAAATTTTAAAAAGCCAAAATATATTTTAGAAGGCAAAACTGACAGAATATAATGTGTAGAAAATTATCTTCCAATATTACAAACTACAGTGTCAGTTAATAATTTAGTCATAGAAAACTATATTTTAGTACTTTTATACTTTATTTATACTTACAGTTTTGTCTTTCACATTCCAAAACACAGCAGCTCCTTCCCTGATTTAAAAAAGTAAGAGTCAACTGAATGCATTATCTGGGGTTATGAAGTTACACTTAGATAACATTCAGAATAAATATGATTTATTGACTGACTAGAGAATTTGATGGGACTTCTACAATAAGAACTACTTTTTGATTCTTTTTTTTTTTTTTTTCGGTGCCGAGGATTGAACTCAGAATCTTGTGCTTGCCAGGCAGGCGCTTATTTTACTGAGCTATCTCCCCAGCCCTACTATTTTTATTCTTGATAAAACCTGATTTCTCAAATCTCCATGGCTTCTCTTTATGACAGTGCCCAAGCAGTGTCACATGGTGCCTAGTCAGTGCTGTAGGATGTTACCAGTCTTTAAAAAAAGTTGAGGGGCCGGGGAGATGGCTCAGTGGAATAAGTGCTTCCCTGGCAAGCGCAAGGGTCTGAGTTCAATCCCCGGTTCTGCCAAAAAAAAAAAGAAGCTGAATTGACCAAATACTATGTATTTGGGCATAGATTATGTCCATCAGCCTCTTGTAAAGCTGCATTTTCACGTATCTGGTTTATTTAATGTTACAGTTTATGTCTAGCTGTCCCCCAAAAGCTTCATGTGGATATCAGGGTGAGTTTCTACAGTCGGTGCCTGATTCATGGCCCAGTACTGTGACTGTGCATGTAAGTGCTACACTCACACTAGCTTGCACACAGATAAAGGATGGAGAGAAAGCAGCTTGCTCTTCCTTCTCCTCTTCCTGCTTCTGCTGTCTTCCACTGTCATGAATGGTTGCCCTCTGCCATATGCCACCCTACCTTAGAGCCAGCTGACTATGAACTGAAACCTCTACGAACAGTGACCTAAATAAACCTTTCCTCCTTATAAAAGAGCCCTCCATGGCTTCTCACAGCAACTATACAGCAGATAGCTATTACTGTGACACTATATAACTTCATATTCTCCAGATGCCTCTATGTGTGGCTAAATTCTGATGTATGGAAATCAAAAGTGAGGATATTTTTTCATGTGGGTGGTGCTGAGGATCAAACCCAGGGCTTCAGACAGGCTACTAGAAAAGTGGTTTACCAATGAGCTACATCATTAATCAAAAATTAGGAAAGTTCTGAGGACCCCACCTTAGCTCTCATAGGCGGACTCTGCTATGGGGAAAGAATAAAGGATCTTTCTTTCTTGTCTGACTCAGGGTCTCACTGTACAGTTCAGGCTGGGCTCACTTTGTAGCCCAGGCTGATCTCAAACTTGCAGCAAAGGATGATGTTTTCACTGCTGGGGAATAAAGCAAACAACCACTATGGAATAAAGCTTCCTACTTCAGAGTGCTTAGAACAGTTATAAGTAAGCCCTGGGAGGCTTCTGAATCAATCTTGATTTGGACAGAATTTATAAAGTCTAAGCCCTGTAAATCAACTTGGTCTCCTCTCTGAAGTCTGACACGTTGAGTTGGTTTGGGTAGTGAGTCAAGGGGGGTCAGGCTCTGGGCTGCCGCACTGGAGGGAAGTGTAAACAGAGTGTGACCCCATGTCATTCTTTCTACATTTCTTAGAAGTGTTTAGTAGGTATGTGGGTCTGTGTTTACTTCAGACAGACACCTCAAGTGCTGATTCCTGACAGTGATTAGCACACATAGGGGCAGTAGAGGCTCCTGAAGGAGCTGCTGGGCAGGGCAGACTGGGTGAGGAACTGAGCGAATTCAGCAGAAAGACATGCACAGGCCCAAGGAGGAGAAGGGGCCGGCAGTGTCTCAGAAGCAACAGCTACAACTGGCGAGGCCCAGAAGTCACAATGCTGGGAGCAGTCAGTGTAAAGAAGCAGGCAGACAGGGTGTGTGTCTGTGTGTACACATCTGTGGATTCCCACAACCCAGGGAGGCTGAGGCAGGGTTCACTGCAAGTTTGAGGCCAATCTGTGTAAATTAGCAATTTAGTAGAAGCCTGTCTTGAGAGGACCAGGGCTATGGATGTAGTTCAGCATGAAGGCTGTAGTTCAAACCACAGTACAGTGGTAGAGGGCAGGAACACTGGCTGAGGTCACCTGGATGGAGCCCAGGGAATTCTGAGCCACAGCTGTCCTCATGGGAGCTGCCCACTGAAGATCGAACCTGTGACAAGTGAGTCAAACTAACACAGGCAAGGAGGATGCAAGCAGTGCATGGGGCTGCAGGGGAGGAGAGGGTCTCAGGACAGGGCCTGGAGGGCATTCAGCCAGCGAATCATCACTCTGAGGCAGGAGCAAGCCAAGTGCGCCAAGCCCTCCTCGAATACCAGGCTGACACAGCGGTGCCCAGAAGCTAGCGCTGCAACGCAGCACTCGATGGCACCTGTGGCCAACTAGAGGCACTGTGAGTGCAACCTGAGGTGGACTCCAAACGCCAGGATGACAAGAACAGTGGCAAGTCTCGCTACTGATGATATGCTCACAGGATGCAATCTGGGGTCAGACAGCCCACTGAATGGGTCTTCAGGCAGCAGGACATTATTATTCATTCTGTTCAACATTTGCTTCATCCTATTTATCAGTGCACTGCCTGGGAAGTGCACCATCGTCACACGTGAGGCTTATGTCACACTGCATTAGCAGCTGAAGTCCTCCAAAATCCTGCTTTGCGCTTGAGGCACTGCGATGGTGGTATTCTAACTGGATTAAGGGTAAGAAACTTGGATTTATCTGAAGTTAGGGCCAAAGAGAAGACATGCATCCACACTAACAAGCAGGCTTCCAGTTTACAACCATAAGGACGCAGGCCACACAAACACTCAGGCAGAGCTTGGACCTTTTTGTTTTGTTTTTGAGACGAGTCGCACTGTGTTGCCTTGACCTCCTGCCTGAACTCCCCCATAGACTTTGAAGCCATCCACGGTGCGCTTTCAAGTCTAGATGCCTATGGGTGGTCCGTGTGCTTCTATTCTGCCACTTGGGAGCACTGGTCCCACGACTCCAGCTGCCAAATGGAAAGAGCAGAGGCTCCGAGTGTCGTGAGGACAGCAGGAGACTGTCACCCGTGGGGCTGTTCCCACTGTCACTCCTGAGTGGCCACTTCATTGAGGTGGGTGTTACAACCATCTTCAAATAAACAGTAAGCTGCGTGAGCCAGGATTCCAGTATGAAATTTCTAGAGAGGTTGTATGTGGGGGGAGGCCTACAACTTTAGCTGAAATCTGCACAAGGGAAAGAAGAAAAGCAAGAAGAGGGCCAGAAGGAAAGGAAAGTGAGGTAGCATGTGCCAGGGACAAGCCAGTGAGTAGACAACAGGTACTTCACCAAACCCAGCCCCATGTTTACCAGTGGAGCTAAAGCAAGGAAAACTACTGTATTAACTTCCAAAATAGTTGAAAGACTTTGTGCCAGGTTTTATCAGACAGCCCCTAAACCTGCCAGACATCAATGAACAGGTACGTCAGCACTCTGCGCATTCTGACCATGAGGACTGGAAACTGCACTCGTGCCTCGCAGGGACCACAGCGGTCGCAAATGCGCCTCCCAGTGGGGTTGCTCCTCCCTCTCACCTGAAGAAGAATATGGTTCCAGGATCACCTTCTTTTGCAGAACTTTCCACACCCATCACCAAAATATTTGCTGCATCTGCAATTTAAAATAAATCGATACAAGGCTATGTTGTGTTACAAGGTGACATAAGATCTTAAGAACCACCTGTACACATTTTTATGAAGTACTTATAATCACTTTATATACCACAAAGCATTCTATCATATAATCTCTAGCTTTCTAGACTTTGGAAGGGATTTAAGATACGAAAATGAAAACCCTAACAAATGACATTCCTAAAATATTCCTCATGGGGATTCTTTGCTAGTATTATGAGTCCTATTTATAATTGCTCGTTCACACCCCCTCTGCTTCAGTAGCTATTAGTCGAGTTAATAAATGTCAGTGTTAGGTTCAATACAACTAAGGTTTAAGAATTAAATTCCTACAAAATTGATTTAAAATAAATTGTGCTCTTTCTTTATATACCACTTTATATTTTTTATATTCCCAAACTACTCATTCTATTGAATTAAATAATACTGTATAAAGTTGGCAATAAAAGAAAATATACAGAAATAAAGACGTCAGCTGGGTGTGATGGTGCATGCCTGGAATCCCAGCAGCGGGGAGGCTGAGGCAGAATTGCTGTGAGTTCAAGGTCAAATAGTGAGTAAAAGTCCAGCCTGAACTGCATAGTGAGACTCTGTCTCAAAAAGACAAAAAACAAAACGAAACAACCAATGATGCCTATCATTTAAAAACATACTTAAAAACTTTAACTGTAAATATTATCAAAGGTACACCAATATACATGAATAAGCAACTGCTTAAAAATTAATGTAGTACTACCTCTTACATAAATGTTTTATGATGTAAACTGTAAAGATGTTATTAAGATATAATTATCAACTTGTAAAAAAGTTATATACAATTTTTTTTCATAGTACTAGGAAATGCTATCCTCAGTTCATCCTCGTCTGTTTTTATTTTTTATCTTGGGACCAGGTCTTGCTAGACTGCCCAGGCAGGCCTGCAGCTTTAGTCCTCCTGCTGCAGCCTTGTGTGGCTGGGGTTGCAGGTGTGCCACCATGACTGGCTGTACGCCAAAGCTTCAGACTCTTGGTAGAGATCAAATGCGAAGCTACGCTGTCAGGGTGAACTCCATCTTGCTCAAGCACTACATCCTGTACAGGACACTTTGCTTACCCCACCAAAAGCAGTAAGAATGAAATGCAAAAGACCGCTGAGGTGCAAGGTCCTGAATGTGATCCCCTGCTGGAAACAAAACCAAATGCCCCAGGCCGTAACACTCAGCTCTGTAGAGCGCGCAGCCACACGCCTGCCAGCCTGCAGTGCCTGGTGTGGCCTGGACTGTACCGATCTTGGGGGCTCTGGGCACAGCTGTTGTCCCAAGTCAAACTGTTCATTTTGTCATCAAGTGGCACAGTCTGTTCACATCATCAAGGCCAACAAAGCACAAGGACACTTCAACTGTCTGTGGGATCAAAGAGTCTTTATAAAGAATTTTCTCTGTAGCAGGAAGGTTTGTATCTTGCTATTGTTACTATTGTAAGGCAAAGTGATAAACTTTCTGGATATTGGGTTACCTTGAGATTCATTGTAAATTTTTTTTTTACCAAATATTATAAGTTATTTTTAATATAAAGTAAGCTAATGTCTCAAGAATTCTTCCTGGTGTTGGCCTAAAATCCAGTGAAGTTTAATTTTCTTTTTATATTCATTGTGTTTATCTTTTCATTAATTCAGTGAGATTTTAAAGTTCTGGGCTAGTCAATTTCTTTTTAGAGGATCTTCATTTCTATTAATTTCATGGCTCCATAGTGCTAAAGCAACTTTTTAATGTGAAAGAAAAGTAGTTTGGGGCTACAGTTTTGGCAAGTGTTCTCCAAAGGCCTGTATGTTAATAAAAAGGTTTGCAGGTAGGGCCCAGTGGGAGGAAATGAGGTCACTAGTGAGGTACAGGCTCCTTTTCTTCCTGTTTGCTTCCTGGCTCTACTCTGTGCTCCCACAGGACTGTTGCCTTGCCACAGGCCCGAGTGTGATTATGGACCAAACCCTCCCAACCATGAGTCAAAATGAACCTTGCCTTCGGAAAGGGGCTAGCACACATGATCCTTGATGTTCCCAAGTATCAGTGATTCTTTTGCTTTGTTTTTTGATAGGGTATCTGTAGCTCAGGCTGGTCTTGAACTCATGGAGATCCTCCTGCATGCTGGGATTACAGATGTGCATCACCATGCTCAGTCTCAGTGATTCTTTTTTTTTTAGTGATTCTTTAAAGATCAAATTATATCAACTTTAATCTGAGAACTAAATTCTATATAAATACTTAGTTTCTTCACAAGTCATTTGCATTAACATTTGATATCTCAGGATACAATCAACAGAAAAAGGAGATGCAAATAAATGCATGCTTCCGACAGTATCACAGCAGAATTATTATTATTATTTTTTTTAAATTTTATTTATTTGTGTGTGTGTGTGTGTGTGTGTGGCCAGCTCAGCCCACCAGGGGGCCAGGCTGGCTGGCATGTGTTGCTGGGGGATCGAACCGCAGTCCGTATGCTTTGTTGCAGCTTGTTCTAAGTAGGTGCCTTAGACCACTGAGCCATCTCACCAGCCCCAGAATTATTTTTTAATACACTGTAATATACTTGGCCCTGGGGCCCAGCAGAAGTACCTGTAGGCAAGCTTGTGACTTCCACATACCCGGAGGAGGTCAGGTCCTGAGACAGATTCTCCAAATGATATTCATCTGCCGTGGCGAATGCTGTGCAGTGCATCAGGTTCTGTTTCAGGGATGGGCACAAGCAGGGTCACCAAGAGGCTCACACACCTGTGGTGCCTCCTGTGCCCCATTAGGGGACCTCATACAGCAAAGCCAAGTTATCTTCAAGATACCTCAAAATTTCTACAAGGGATGCATAGAAGATGGAGAAGATACAGGGAGACGAATGGCAGCTTGATCTCCCCAGGTTTCAGGGAGCCAGAGACAGACTGGACTATCCTGGAGGAGGCCACACCCATCGGGAGTGCCAGGAAGGAGTATCTCACTCAGGCTCCAACCCGGAGTCGCCACAACCCCCACTGGAGCATTTGTATCTGAGGTCACTTACCCCTCTGCTACTAGCCCTGTACGGGCAGAGATTCCTTAAAGTGCACACGTGACTGGCAGTGTTTTCACGCTAGTGAAGAGCGAACAACATGACAGATACTGAGAATGTGCCTTGTTCGCTGAGTGCTTTGTGCCGTCTTGTGTGTGTCAGGTTGTGTCTGCATAACTACACACGGGAGGCAGTGCAGTGTTTTCCAACTGTGCCTTACAGCCCCAGGCTTGGACATCAACTTCATGGGCCTAAACCATCTTTTTTTAAAAAAAAAGTTAAATGACTAAAATGACACACAGGGTATTGCATCAAGAGCAAGTGTTTTCTCTCATACGTACATGCCTGTGTATGCACACTGGGTCACAGTGTCCATAAAATGTTAAATGCGTTTCTCATAAGGGATGTGGTCAAAATAAGTTTAAAAGCCATCTGCTCAAAAGTTAAGACTTCAGACACAAAAATGTGAAAAATTTGGAGTATCAGAATAGCAGTAATGCCTACGATATAGGCTTGTTTTAAAGCTTAAACAAGCTGATAAATGTAAACTGCTTGGAACTGCTCAACATTTGCTAGATTATAGCTGGTCAAAAGAAATTAATGAGTCACTAAACCACCACTGATTCTTTGGCCTTCTTGCCCTCGGCCCAGACCCTTCCTCACTCCTTGCGTGCCCGGAATGATTCTGGAGCAGCAGGCAGCCTGCAGACTCTGTCCTGCTATCTGACTCTGGCCTGTCAGGAAAGGCCTCCCCTTGCTCTGCCTTTCCTCGTTCTCTTGCATGCTTTAACATGTGGCTCCGAGAGCAGCAGAGGAGCTGGGTGTGGTGGTGCCTGCCTGTGAGCCCCGTGTTTGAGGACTGGGTCAAGAGGGTTGCCAACATAGCAAGACCCTGTCTAAAAAAATTTTTTTTTTAAATCCCAAAGTCAGGAGTGCAGAAAGAATAGCTGTTATCAAGAAATCAACCAATAACAAATGCTGGCGAGGCAGTGGAGAAAACGAAGGCTTTTCCACCGCTGGTGAGGGTCTAGGCTGGTATAAAGACTGTGGAAATGAGTGTGGAGATCCCTCAAAGCACTAAAACTAGAGGCTCCACTGGATCCGGCTGTGCCCCTTCTTGGTATCTTCCTGAAGAACTCAAAGCATCACACTAGTGACATAAACACACCCATGTTTATAGCAGCACAGTTTGGAATGGCCAATTCTTGGAAAAAGTTCAGACACTCATCAACTGATGAATGGATGAAGATTTTTTATATAATGGAGTACTACTCTGCCACAAAGAAGGATAAGCTTGAGACATTTCTAGACAAACAATGTACCATTAGACCACACTCCTAAGTGAAATAAATCAGCCACACATGTTTAAATACAGTATTATTTCTCTGGTATAACAAACCAAAAGTGTAAACAAGGACCAAAAAGTATAACAGATACTGAGAAACTGGAAGAAAATGTTCAATGGGCAGGGGAATATGGGAGGGAGAGGGAGAAAGGAAGGGACAAGACAAAAGGAGACAAGAAGGAAAAACAAAACTTTTGCAAGTAAGGAGGTAAGAGAGGTTGAAGGGAGAGTAAGAGATTGGGAAAAAAAGAATCAAGTTATGTCATATACAGATACAAATTCCCAATGATGAATATGATCATTATGTATATTAAAATGTAACAATAAACTTAATAAAAAAAACCTGAGAGTGGTGGCACAAGCCTTGTAATTCTAGTGTCTGAGAGGCTGAGGCAGGGGGAGTGCTATAAATTGGAGGCCAGCCTGAACAAAACCCAAGACCTGTCTCAAAAGGAAAAAAAAAAAGGCACAGTAGAATAAAGAGGGGCTGGGAAGGCATACAAGCAGAGACATCTGAAATCAATAAAATACCCACCTGGAAGTAGAGCAATCCAACTAGAAAACTGTTAAGTCAAACAAACTGTAGTGGAAATTCTGGGCAGCAATGGGCGGTGCCACCTTTTGAAGGAGCAGGTGTGTGAAAGGCCGGTAACACACACCCCCAGTCAGAAGCCACAGCACACTCGCCGGAGTCTGGGAGGCGCTGAGCTGACCTGCCTGACACCCTGGAGTCACTAAGAGCCACTGGACAAGGGCAGAGCCTGAGCTGGCCAGAGGGCAGAAGCCCCGTCGGAACACATCACGAGGGCTCAGGGAGGCCCCAGTCAGTGACACCAGACCTGTTCGTTGCTGAAGCTCACTGGGCAAAGTTAAAATATATGGGGCGGGGACAGGAAGACTTCACTTTGGTGTACATGGCAAGAGCAGAGGCACAGAGAAGCTGACAGGAGAGGGCAAGGGGAAAAGACAGCTCCGCAGAGGACGGATCTCGAGTGGTACTGAGCTCAGCAAAGGCTGAGCCAAAGGTTGCGAACCCACAGCTTGCTTGCCTTGGCCTACACAGCACTTCAGAAAGGTGAACCACCAGTAATAAGCTCATAGATGTCACATGAAGTCCACAGCACCGTCTCTGGCCAAGTGGCAGAGCCGGCTCCAAGGACGAGGGCTGAGAGGAGGCCCAGGTGTCCAAGGATGGGACAGGGGACTCATTTAGTAACCTTTTCTTTTTTGTGATACTGGAGATTGAACATAGTAGGGCCTTTGGATTACTCAGGCCTTTTTTTTTTTTTTTTTTTTACCCAGGCCTTTGAAAGGAGTTTTATCTTATTTACTTTCTTTCATGTACTTGGTACAGGATGTTACTACATAGCTCAGACTCTAGTGATCCCCGTCTCAGCCTCCCCAGCACCAGGATTATAGGCATGCACACCACGCCCAGTGGCTGGCTCAGCGGTCCTGGGAGTGGGGCTGGCGCACCATGTGGTGCCAGGGATTGAACCTTGGTCCCTGCGCTTGCCAAGTTCGCTGAGCCATCTCGCTGGCCCAAAAGGATTGCTTTAAATTCGGAGGCAGGGTCTTGCTAAGGTGCTCATTTGCTGAGGCTGGGCTTGAAATTTGTGATCCTCCTGCTGCCGCTTTCTGGAGTGCTGGGATTGAAGGCACATACTACATGCCTGCGTAGGGGAAATACACTATGAGCTGTAGAGACAATGGGGATAAATCCCTACCCTAATGTGTTTTGCTTAGCCACTCTTAAGGCTGTCCTAAGTCTGCTGAAGGCTGTCTCCTTTCCTCAGTGTCTTCTACTTAGATTGGCCTGAATTTTTCTCCTGTCATGTTTGCCATGACATTCTAAAATTGTAGGCTGCTTCTATTAATAAATACATCATGTATTGAAAATCTTATTTTGGTCTTGTTCCCTCTGAAATTACCAGTTTTTTTGGCCAGGGAGATAGCTAAGTAGAATAAGCACCTGCCTGGTAAACACAGGGTCCTGAGTTCAATCCCCGGTACCACCAAAAAAAAAACAAAACAAAACAAAAAACAAAACAAAAAAAAAAACAAAAAAAAAAAACCAAAAAAACAAGAAAGAATAAAATTTCTGTCACTTAGGAAATGAAGATTTTATTTAAGCTCATTTGGTAAAGGGAAACAACTATGGTATATACTGTCTGCATCTATTAAAGATACCATTACTGTGAAAAGCTTTCAATTTCACATTTAAAAAAATAGTGAAACCTAATTAAGCTCTAGTGACACACACTATGTAATGCTCCTAAATAAAGCATATTTCAGGCTTTAAGACAATTCATTCTTAAAGATATGTGACAAACAACTGAAAACACTTACTGGGTTGCAGCCCCAAATTTTGGTCCTTACTTACTTAATAAGACAGGATCTTGCTATGTAGTTCAGGCTGGTCCTGAGCTCACTATGTAGCCTAAGCTGGCCTTGAACTCACAGCAATCCTGCCTCAGCCTCTTCAGTGCTGGGATCACAGGTGGGTACCACCATGCCTGTTTTAGTTTTTATTATTTTTTTAACATTGTATTTCAATATGTATTTTCTCAGCTACAAAGGACATATTCCAGCAGATGGGGCTAAAAATCAGCATATGATTCTTGCCTTCACAGCATCACCTTGTCTCAAAAGAATTATTTTATTCATGTAGTGCCACTGAAAAGACAGTCCATGATGGCCCTGCTGCTTCTGTTTTACTGTGATACCGGGATATAATACTTTCATATACGTTTTTGTTCTTGGCTTCTGGTACTGAGCTCTTACAGCCCTTGTGATTTCCTAAGTGACAGAGTGACAGGAGCATCTTTTGCTGCACTGTGTCTCTGCCTCTAGTTGTTGGCACACAGCTTTCGGCCCCCTGGAGTTTTTCAAGGAACAGGAAATAAGTCCTGCTAGGGTCCCAAATGGCTTCAGGATGGAGGCTGGCTGCCAGAAACGCCAAACACTGATCAAAGCTTGGAACTCAAAGCCCACCCTCCAAATCAGGCACAGTGTGCAGAGCTGGAGGCTGGCGAGTGGTCATGTGATGGAACCTGCAGAATGCGCCTGCGTCAGGAGGTTCACAGACCTCAGGGCTGGTGCAGACATGCACAGGCCAGGAAGGCGGCACAGTCCAAGTCCCCAAGGACAGAGGCTCCTGTGTCCAGGCACCCTGTGCAAGCCTTCAGGGCTGTTCATGTGTCCTTTATGACATCCTTTGTAACAGGCAGCTCTGCGGGACACTCTAGCAAACTCTCAAGTCCACAGACAAGGTCTCAGGAAGCCTAATTACAGCTACTTGATAATGCCAAGTAGGTGTTAACCTGGGACTTGAGGCTGGCATGTGAAACAGGGAGCAGACCTGTGAAACACTGTAGGTGTCTCAGAGCACCCCGCATTTTGGTGTCAGAAGTAATGTGAGTGAAAACAGGTTGCACTTACAGAGGCAAAGGCCATTTTTTCTTCCTATGTAAATCAGTTATGAAAAAGATTCATTTCACATTAATGGTAAAATGCTTTAGCTTATAAGCTGTTTTGACTACAGCCTGTGATGAGAAATCATTTTAGACACAGCACAGACAAACAGATGAGCACACACCAGTGCCTGCCACAATAGCTTTACAGCCACCAGTGTTTATCCTGGGCAATGCATTCTGGTCTGTTCTATTTCTTATTTTTTCAGGTACTGAGTATTAAACTGAGCCATATCCCCAGCCTTTTAATTATTATTACATTTATTTTTTTTAACTTAGTCATTAGGTTGCCCAGGCCCGGGTCAAACTTGTGATCCTCCTAGGTCAGCCTCCTAGTATGATGGGATTAGAGGTATATACCGACACACCTGGCTTCAAGTTTTTGTTGTTTTTTTGAGAAAGGGTCTCACTTTAAGTTCAGGCTGGCCCTGAACTCACTATGTCATCCAGGCTGGTCTTGAACTCCTGGTGCCAGTCTTACCTCAGCCTTCCAAGTGCCAGGATTATAGGTGTTCACCACCATGCCCCAGGTGGCATCTATTTTTTTAGAAGAGAACCTGCCACGCAATAGTCATTTCCTCTGGGCATTGTGCCATCGGTCTGAACCAACACTAGTGAGCACCCATCCCTCGTGCAGGCCAGGCTCCATGCTGCTCAGACCAGGGCACTGCAGGGTGTGCTTGCGAAGCGCTACCCCTGCCCTGAAGTCAGAAATCAGAGGGACGTGGGCTGAGGAGCTCCGTGGGTTCAGATACGCAATCAAGACTGGGGGGGGCGGGGAGGGCGCAGGGAGATGGCTCAGTGGAATAAGTGCTTGCCTGGCAAACACAAGGACCTGAGTTCAATCCCCGGTTCTGCAAAAAAAAAAAAAAAAAAAAAAAAAAAAAGACTGGGCAGGGATTTAACTCAAGCGCTGAGTCCTCACTCGGTCAACATCAGACTGCTCTGGAGCAAGTGTGGAAGGAGACACATGCACCTGCTTCCTGTAGCCATGTAGAGAGGGATCCTCACCTGGGCAAGAATGAAGCAAACAAGGGGCTACTCCAGAACGAAGGAGTCACCAGCCTCTCTACTCTTCTGGGAAAACAGGGTGGTTCTCAACACAGGGCAGAGTCGTTCTTCAAATCCAACATGGTAAAGCACGCCTGTAATCCCAGCACATGGGAGGCTGAGGCAGTAAGACTTACTGCAAGCTCAAGGCCAGACTAAACTACAGTGACACCCTGTCTTAAAAAACCAGAGTCAGGCCTTAGCCACACCTCAAAACTGCTTTCTCTCCCAAAGTACTCAAAGAATAACAGTCCACAATCATATTACCTCAGCCAACTTAGAGATGTAAGGTTTTCTAATGTATTTATATTATTATTATTATTATTATTATTAATGTATTTAGGACAGGGTCTACAGAGTCTTACTACATAGACTGGACTTGTAGTGATCCTTCTGTTTTCAGCCTCCCAAGTGCTGTGATTACAGGTGTGCACCACCATGCCCAGGCCATCTCAGCGCACCCTGGGGGTGGGGCCAGCACGGCACTATTTCCTTATGCATTTAAAGAGAGAACATACTGCAAAACTCCAACTGAATTCTCTATTATGTGTCCTCTTAAAGGACCCATGAAATAAATGACTTAATTTCAAGGCTGCAAAAGTTACTTCTCTTAAGATGTTTGTGCACCTCCACCTTAACCCCAGCCCCACTCAGACAAGGAGGTACAACCCAGGAAGAATCCTTCTTTTCTTTAATTGTTGGGCATTTCAGAACTGAAGGTTCAACTAGATTTATTCATACTATGTACTTAATATCAGTTGTTTCTGTTCATGGCAAATGTGCACTCTATTTTCATTTTAAATGCTTTTATTATTTTATTTGAAACTATAATAATTTTTTTTTGCAGTACGGGGGATTGAACTCAGGCCCTTGAGCTTGCCAGGGAAGCGCTTATTCCACTGAGCCATTTCCCCGGCCCCCACTATGATGAATTTTGAAGATGTTCCTCAAATCTTTTCCTAGAAGGAAGCAAAAAAAACCCCAAAATCCTGAAGGAAAATAAAAATTGGACTTTGAAAACTGCTTCCAAATCAAAGGACAGCTTCCCCAGATAAAGCCTGTGAGAGTTCACAACCCGGAACTCCTGCAAGGGGACTTCTGCTTGAGCAGCACACGAGTAACCTGATACACCATGCTGTTGGATGGAGCGTGAGACAAATAACGCTGTCTCTGTGGATCTGCAGAGCTCAGGTGTGTGCCTTCGCTGCCACCTCTGGACCTCAGCAGACTCTCCCAGCCGCACTGAGCAAGGCCATGTGGGTGGCTTCTCCAAACACCGCAGCCTTCTGTTCCTGACTCAGAAACCACACAGAAAGTAGAGGCAGACTAGGACCCAACATAAAAACCATTTGCTAAGCTGGCGTCTATGCTCTGGGGGCTAGGCAGCAAGGTACGGACATCTTTTCAAAGATACCAGCTGGAGAGGAAAAAGAGCCAAAATTAAATGTGCTCAGTGTCTAGCTCTCAGAATTAAGGACTGAAGACAGACATCAGCGTATTTGGTGGTAAAGCCAGAAGGCCAAATCAAGTTCTAATTGCCTCCTCCCACCCAGGGTTGCACTACATTGTTGTCCAGGTTTGCCTTAATTACCAGGCTCAAGTGATCTTCCTGTCAGTGCTGACTAACTTAATGAACATTTATTAAGTACAAGGTACAGGTCTAGTTATTGTGCAAGATGCAAAGATTAACAAATGAGTTCATTTTGACCTTAAACTGTTTTGTCACTTAAAGGGAAAATGCAAATTGCAGCTGAAGCTTTTCCAGACATGTCTTTACAGTGGAGGCAGGGAGGACACAACCTCAAACCTTCGAACCTTCGGCGAGTACAAAGGCAAAACCCTGCTGCTCTGTGATTCGGCCTCACCGCGCAGTTTCACCACCCACGTGCAGTATCTGCTTGTTAACAAATGCTTGCCTACTGGTGGGATTATGCTTAAAAACTTTTTGGAACTGGGGATTAAACCTAGGACCTTCCCACTAAATCATGTTTCCAGCCCTTTCAAAAATTTTGGGACAGGGTCTCACTAGTTAAGTTGCCTGGGCTGGGCTCCAACGTGCAAGCCTCCTGCCTCCCAGAGCGCTAGAAGAATGGGGGTGCACTACACCCCCAACGCAACTTGTAAAATTTGATGGAGAACTTCTAGTTTGAGTTCTTAAAAGATCTTTTCTATAGTTTCATTTCCAGACTAGACTTATAACTAACCCTTTTATAAAAAGAGTTTATACATTTTTTTTTTTGCCTTTGTCTTTATATGTATTATTAATCCTTCAAAATCAGTATTGTGAGTCCCCTTGGATACGTAATGTTAGGCTTCAAAGACCTAAAAGGAATTCTGAGCTGGATGCTGGCTCAGGTGTGCAGATAGCAACGCACATTACTTTGGACAGCAAGCAATGGCCGACGAACACAGCCTCACGAGCATACCATTTACCTCATTCACAGACAGAACTGGAAGGTTGGTCCTGGATGGCTGCCTGGTCCTGGATGCTTTCAGGGGTCTTTTGATCTGGGGCAAGTCTTGTTTTGGAATAAATGTTTCAGTTGATACAGATGAGTAATGCCTCCTTAATATTTTTATAAACCACTTAGAACCCAAAAGATTTGGCTTGTGGGTCACTTTCCCATGAGTACCAAGTGATCGCATGGTCAGAGGGGGCACCTTGTTGCTCTGGAAGTGGGAAGAGTTTAATGGAGGCAGTCTGCTTGCGCGGGAGGTCTTCTGGTTCATCTCTAGAACCTGAGGCCTGCTCAAGCCATCAGCTGCTTTGACAGGGAAGTATGAATCCAGGCTTTGGCGGATCGTCAGGGTGCTGTTGCATTTGGGATTTCCAAACCCCTTAGGTGGTTTTAAAGTTAGATGAGCAAATCTTTGGCATGAATGTGCTTTTGATAATCCACTGTGAGATCCGGTGAGGGCTCGGAAAAGTCTGGCTGGCATTATCACATCCCAAGCTAAAAGAAAAGAATTTCAAAATTCAAGTTATTTAAAAATGTTTCTAAAAAGCATATATATATATATATATATATATATATATATATAACTTCCCTAAGAAAGAGGCATATTTCCACTAAATATTTAAAACAAGATGGGTATGGTGCCCCAGGCCTATAATCTCTGCTCCCAGCACCTGGGGAACTGAGGCAGGAGGATGGCCAAACATTTGAGGCCAGCGTTGGCTATATAGTGAGTTCAAGGCCACCCTGAAACCCTGTCTCAGAATGAACCAAGCCATGCTTACAGGGCTGGGAGATAGCTCAGTAGAATAAGAATTTGTCTGACAAGTGCAAGGCCATGAGTTCAATCCCCAGTACTGCAAAAAAAATAAAATAAAATAAAAAAGCTTACAAATTCCTTTTTCCGGTATTTTATTTCACCTCAATAATGAGATAAACAACTGAGTGACATCAGGCATGTGTCCTCGAAAGGGCAGGTGTCCCCCTCATCATGTTCTGAGCTCTCCTGGGACAAGGTTTACACCTCTGGTTAATTCTGTGAACAGATCCCGCCACTGAGCTGTACCACGGAGACTGAGAAGCACAAAGAGCTCATCTTGTCCTGTGTGATGAATCACAAAGGCTCCTAGGAAGAGGTAGGCTACTTTTTCAAGGGGAAGGTATTTTTTCAGGCAGTGACCACACACACACACACACACACACACACACACACACACACGGGTCAAATGAAACAGACTACATACACAATTTCCTCCTTATATACACTTTAAAATATGTATCCTTTCAAAAATAAGCCTAGGTCTAGGGATATGGCTCAGTGGTAGAATGCTTGCCTAGTGTGTGGGCCTGAGGTTCCATGTCCTGCACCCCTAAAAGGAGGAGGAAAAAGTCAACTTATAATAGGTAATCATTTTTTAAAAAGTCCTAAAAAGTAATAAATAAATAAAATTTTAAAAAAGTCCTACGTGCTAGAGATACAAGTATAAATCAGTAACTTCAGAAATAATAGTCCAGCTGGGGAAACAGCAGTATGACATACAAATGCTATCGGCATTTGAGGTGAGGAGTGGGTCTCACACTCACAGGGGAATTTTGAACTGGGGCTGGCGATTCAAACAGCCCAGGTACAATGTACTGTTTACCTGACAAACAGAATGCAACTTCTGGGCTGGGAAGGGATGCAGGAGGTAAGGACAGGAAAGGAGCCTGTGACCACAGCACGGATCCATTCAGTGACCCTACAAAGTCTTCTGTAGGCAGAGGGCAACCAGAGCTTCTAGATTTCAGATTCGTAGGTTTACGTGTATGTGGCAGAATCTCTCTTTTATTTTTATTTTTTGGCAGAACTGGGGATTGAACTCAGGCCCTTGTGCTTGCCAGGGAAATGCTTATTCTACTGAGCCATCTCCCCAGCCCCCAGAATCTTTGATGACGTGAAGGAGGAAGAGACAGGCTGAGGCGTCACCACCTAGCACTTTCTACACACTGAAGGCTGTTTTACCTCACAACAGCCCAAGGAGGTATTTGCTGATGTGGGAACTGAGAGTTGATAAGGACAGTGACTCAGTCAGCAAGCAGCAGAGAGGTCACTGAAGTCTGGGCTACATCCACAGTAGCACCTCCCCTAAAAGGACAAGGATGATTTGTAGCAGTGTGTCCCTGGTAGAACCTGCTGCTTTCAAAGTCTCTTCAAAAGCTGGTGCTCTGTTTGGCTCTAGTCCAACGAGTTGTTCTTGCCCATCTGAATTGTACTATTCTCTGCCAAGTGAACCAGAGGGTTTTTCTTTGGCTTTGGTTTTTTGAAACAGGGCTTTGCTGTATGGCTCAAACAGGCCTAAAATGCATGAGCCTCCTGCCTAAACCTGCCAAGTGCTGGAATTACAGGTGTATGTCACTGCACCTAGCCAAAGCAGTTGTTCAACTGCAAAAAAACTTAGAGATCTGTGCACAGACTTGGATTCTTTATCTTCGAGGACGTTCTTTACCTCCAGATTCTTAACGGCTGCTCCAGCATGCAAGGTACACGAAGCACTACCACAGAAATGTAAGGAAGCACGCAAACGAGGTTTCTCCGTAGGCTGGTGCAACCACCAGGAAGTCAAGTGTGCAGAGTCCTCAGAAACTAGAAGCAGAGGTGCCGTTTGACCCAGTTAGCCCACTTCTTGGCATCTTCCCAAAAGAATTCAATCATACCACAGTGACACACGCACACCCATATTTATAGCGGCACAGTTTGTAACAGCCAAATCTTGGACACAGCCCAAATGCCCATCAAATGATAAGGATGTGAGGCTTTTTCACATAATGGGGTACTACTCTGCCATGAAGAAGGATAAGTTTGAGATATTTCTAGGTAAATTGATGCACATTCCCGTAAGTGAAATAAACTGGACGTAAACACTGCACTGTTTCTCTGAAGTGAGAAACTGAAGGTATAAATAAGGACCAAAATGCATAATGGGTATGGTGGAATAGGAGGAAAATGTTCAAATGGGGAAGGGAACAAGGAGAAGGAAAGAGAAGGGAAAGTAAAAGAAAAAATTGAGAAAAGAAGTAAAAAATTGAAACAGAGCTTTCATAAATACAGAGGGAGGAGTTGAAGAGAAGGTACAGGAATGGGGGAAAAAGAAATTTGTATCAAGCACAGGTACAAATTCTCTACGTCAAACATGATCCTTATGTGTATCTAAATGTATGAAAAAAATCTGATTGGAGAAAAGAAGGATTTTTTTGGGGGGTGTGTGTGTGCAGGATGCCCTCAGGGCAGGTCTGGTTTGGCCTGAGGATGAGGGAATTGAACCACAGCATCCTGAGCCTGACTGCTTTGTTTCAGCAGGCACTTTAACACGTGAGCTAATGGGCAGGCCCCCTGGAGAAAAGAAAGGGTTTTTGTTCATAGCTTTGTTGAGAAAGACACAGGTGTAGTGTTTAAAGTGTTCAACACAAAAACTTTAAGCTTTGCTAAAAACCAGGATGCACAGGAACGTGCAAGTATAATTGTGCATGCTAAATTTATTTATTTATTTATTTATTTTTAAATATTTATTTTTATTTATTACATTTATTTATTGTGTGTGTGTGTGGCCAGCTCAGCCCACCAGGGGGCGGGTCTGGCTGGCATGTGGTGCTGGGGATCGAACCGCGGTCCCTGTGCTTTGCCAAGCTTGTTTCAAGTAGGTGCTTTAGACCACTGAGCCATCTCTCCAGCCCCATGTGCATGCTAAATTTAAAGATTAAAAGCACATTCAGTTTAAAATTTTAAGGGCTGGCCAAATAGCTCAGCGGATTAAAGGGCCTGCAAGCTGGTGCAGGGTTCAATCCCCAGGGCATGCTGAGAAGCCAATTGAGACTGGGCATGGTGGTGCGTACCTGTAATCCCAGCTCTTGGGAAGCTGTAAGCAGGCCGATTACTACGAGTCCAATCTAGTAGTGAGACCCTGAACACCCTGTGGACCCTTTCCTAAAATACAAAATAAAGATAAATAAAATAAAATAAAATAAAATTTTACCCTACCAGCTTTATGTAACCCTTCGACCTAGCACTCACATATGCCTCCAGATTGTCCTGGCCCTAATTCTGGATGGTTTCTGTGCCCCAGCCAATCAGTGGTGAGGACAACTCTTCAGTGCCCTGGCCCCGAGGCTCTCCTCCCTTCCTGAGGGACCTTGTTTTCCACTCTTCCCCAGCCATTCTATGGTCACAAACTCTGACCTGTTAAGTAGCCACAACACAGCACATGTGGCTATTGAGTCCTTAAAATGTGGTTAGTAGAAATCAAAATTTCATCCAAAAAAGATAAATATTAGTAACTTTTATACTGTTGATTTGTCAAAATACTACTTTGGATATAATGGGTAATAATTAAGATTAACTTTATCTGTTTATTAAGGCTTGTATCTAGCTGTGCCCTCAAGCCTCCTTCAGCCATAGCTAGGGGTTTCAGAGTAGGGTGTGTAAATGTGGACCATGAGTGTGGTAATAGGAGTAGGGGTGCTGGCACACCCCTCACTCGTTGGCTTGTCATGGTTTGGGGCGCGGCTAACAGAAAGCCCCACTCTGGTGTGGATGGCACCACCCAGAAGGCTTGTAGCTGGGTGGGATAAACAGGAAAGGGAAGCTCACTGGTGCCACCTCCTGCCTGCCTTGCCGTGGGCCGCCTGCCTCTGTAAGCCCCTCACCCATGCTGCCTTAGGGCCAGCGGACTGTGGGTGGAAATCTCTACAGACTAAGCTAAAACCAAACCTTTCCTGCTTTAACTTGGAGTGTTGGGTATTTTGTCCCAGCAATGAAGTAACTAAGTCATTTTTCACTTTGATTTATAACAATGCAGCTTCTAGACAGCTTAAGGTTTTTCCTCCTTGTATTTCTACTGTTACATTCTATGATAAATACATTATATTTACATTATTTTTTCTATTGACCAGTGCTCTCTAGATCTTGTATTATATATAAGTGCAATCTCATATTCCCAATTTCTCCCCCCCCCTTTTTTTCCAATTTCTTGCTTGCTTGCTTTTTTTTCTTTCTTTTCCTTTCTTTTTAATGTATTTGGTTGTTGCAAAGTCTTACTACACAGCTCGGGCTCCTGGTGATCCTCCTGCTTCCAGCCTCCCCAGTGCTGGGATTACAGGCATGCACCCAGTCCTGCTCAGACTGCCCTGTGGGCAGGGCTGGTGCGGTCCCTGCACTTGCCTAAGCAGGCACTATCTTGCCGACCCTCATCTTCCCAATTTCATGCACTCTACTCCAGACACTACCTCCTATTTTTCCAGCTTGTTCCTTGTTGCTTATGCCAACAATTCTTCCATCTCCAAAGGACATACAATTCAAGATCTAACTACCTCTTCTCTGTCCCTTACATCCCATGCGTCCCTGGACTTCACTTTCTCCAGATCCACCTTACATTCCATGGTCTATCATTATAATCTCTCCCTTCAAATACCTCAAGTTTCTTGCAGCCCTCAGCCACATACCCTTGCGACATAACCTCAACCCT